TTTTTTCCTCCCAAGTGATTCCTCATGATTCTTCCTTAAAGCTTCACCATGGTTCGTGCCTTACCAACTTCTGATGAGTTACCTTTGATGGTTGTGATTTCTCTGATGCACAGACCCTAGAGTTTTTGCGTGTCTGCGGTCATTAGGTACAAGTGAGTTCAGCCTCTTCTGTTTCTGTTTCAGTGTTTACAATAAGCAGGTCTTTCCTATCACTGAATCACCTTGAAATACGTTGCTTTTATTCAGAAACCGGAGCAGGGATCGCACAAGCTTTGGTTCCCTCTTTAGGGACCAGGTTGTAAGGTGGCAAATGAGTCTCTATTTCTCTGCTGTCCCAGCCTTTCTAGGTGGGTCCAGCCCCACTTATGGTACAAACTTGTAAAAGGGCTGCTGTTTTAAGACCTTTCTCTGTGGCACAATCCAGCCACAGGGCTGGGTTGCTTTCTGTTTTCTCTCCTGGTTCTTGTTTACTCTGTCTACTAGAGTAGCTATGGTAAAGAAGTCCCATCTGTTCTGTTTAATTCTTTAACTATTCAGGCCCAATCTCTGTTCCAGCAGTCCTGCAGCACTCTCCCTATGCTTGAAGTGATGCTGCTCTCATCTTCTTTCTTCTCCTTCCTGGTGGGATCTGCAGTCCTAGCTCAAGCAGACTGTCTGCATTACCATAGAAGCTGTTTCATCTAGGGTAAGTTGGGCCGGGCTGATGAGTTTCTGCAAGTTGCGTCCTCCAGCAGTGGAGGAGATCAGCCCACTCTCCTCTTATGCGCAGACCTCATCCAAGATAAGTAACTATCACAAGGTTATGCTTATTTCCTTCAATGCTGATACACATTGTAAAGAGCTAGAACTGGTTTTGATTGAGATAACAAATGCAATCCAAAATGCCAAGTATTTTGTTTATTTATAAAATTGCTTGTAAATAATTCAGTGATTGGAACTATAGAAACAGTTGAGATCAAGGCAGATAGGTGTTAAGGAAGTGTTCCTTTAAATGGGTCTTGTTTACATGATACAATGGAGTGACACGTTAGTTACTTATTTTAAGAAACAATCTTTCTTCCCTTTTTTTCGCACACGGAAAGGTTTGAAATGATTTCTCAGGAGCAATTTCAGCTCACATGGAAGCATTTTGTTAAATGATGCTACGCTTGGATTTTTTTCTTAATCACTGAAAGCTATGTCAGAATTTTGTAGAAATGTTCACGGTATGAATGTTTTTAAAAATAGCTTTTACTGTACTGTCTGGTTGCAGTTCCTTTAGGCAAGTAAGTAGGCAGAGTCCATGAAGCTACTTCTGTTTCTAAAATTGTTGGGGTTCAACCATCCAGTCTGTATCATTTGGTAGAATTAGTGACTGTATGTCAAAATTTTGGGGACCTTTGTTCAAAATGTGCTGGTTACAGTTAATTAAAATTTTTCTTTCCACCTCCTAGTTTTAGAGATGCAGCGCCAAAATATATTTGGAAATCATTAACTTTAGTTTGCCCTTTTACTTGCTTTCTTTTGTCTTGCAAGCTCATTCCTTTTCCTAAAGCATCTGAATGCCTAGGAGGGCAACTGTGACCTTTACAGTGAAGAAAGAGATATTACTGCACTTAGCGTGTTGTGGTTTGGTTGTTTTAAAGGACATTCAGAACATCAATGTAGGTGGGTTTTTTTAAAACTAAATGTTCACTTAAAACACTTTGGAAAATGCTGAAATGTACTTGAAGGAAAATTACCTTCTGAACTATGTCCCTAGACTTTAGATTCTTCCCCTGGAACAAATTATATGCTTAGTTTCCCTGAAAACTTGTTTTTCATTTTTAAATGTGTTCCTCTTTCAGATAAACAATCAAAGGTGGACATTTTAGTAATGTGTTTTCCTTTTGTTTTGTTTCGGTTTTTTTTCTTCCGCACGCTTACTTCATTTGCTCTTCCAACCCACATTTTGTTTCTCTTTGGCACTGAGACACTCTTACATAATTTTTCAAAAATACAACAGTGTTCTGCTGTAATAGTCCAAAAGGCTACAGGCTGCATTTTTGCAGAGGTTTGGGATGATTGCAGTAAAATGGTGTATTGTTTTTGATAAGGCCTGTTTTCGGAGGGTTCTTAAATGCCTGTTTCTCTGCCATTGGCTTCTTCTCAAGTTTCTAATAAACAGGACTCTACAAGGGAGTGGGTGACACAAATTTAACTTGTGTTACTTCTCAAATACAGCACTTTGGTTTCTTTCAGGAGAACCGCATAAAAAAAAGAATGCTCTGTAGATACCACAGCTGCCATCCTTCATTAGTTATAGAATCATAGAATGTTTTGGATTGGAAGGGACCCCTAGAGGTTATCTTGTCCAAGCCCCCTGCGGTGAGCAGGGACACCTTTAACCAGATCAGGTTGCTCAGAGCCCAGTCCAACCTGGCCTTGAATGTTTCAGGGATGGGGCCTCCACCACCTCTCTGGGCAACCTGTTCCATTGTTTTGCCACCCTCATTGTAAAGAATTTCTTCCTTATATCCAGTCTAAACCTACCCTAGATTAGTTTAAAACCATTACCCCTTGTCCTGTTCACAGCTGGCCCTACTAAAAAGATTGTCGCCATCTTTCCTGTAGGCCCCCTTTAAGTACTGAAAGGCTGCAATAAGGTCTCACCTCAGCCTTCTCTTCTCCAAGCTGAACTGTGTACATGCTCGGTAATGAATATTGTATATTTTTATGTAATAAATTAGTATTAGCCTAAGATAAGCTTAGTGCAGTTAATTCTCCAATCATTGACACTGATGTAAATGAGAAATAGTTCCTCATATGTCAGCACAGCTGCTGCAAGGTGTGTAAGGGGAGAATCCAGCCTGCTGGAACAAGATGTGGATGTATTTTAGAGTGCTGTGTTGGAACTGACAGACATCCAGCCTAGGAGCTGTATTTAGGTAAAGTGCATGAAAGATTCAGCTCCTGAATGGTTAACTTCCACTGTTTGGAGTAGGTGTCAGCTCTCTGGGTGCAAATGATTACAAGACAGGCCAAGGTGTGACCTGAATGCAGACAGTTGCAATATCATCTTCTTGAGTTTTGAAGAATAACTCTCAGTTTGTGACTTTTCCTTCTCCTCTGTCAATCTCTTTCGGGTGCATCTATTTAGTCATATGTTTGCTTGTGTGTATACATACAAGGCTGCAGGGTTAGAGCTGATACATTATCTTTGATTTTCCCCTGGAGTGGGAGCTCGCTTTTTATGTTAGCTTGGAGCTTTGCAGTGTTGCCCATGTTGTATGCTACTATGGGAGGCAGCGTGCAAATACTCAAGTCAGATGAATGAATAGGTTGTATCAGGAGGTATGTCTGTGGTTGTATTGACACCAATGTGGTTGTACTGGTTGTATTGATACCAATGTGGTTGTACTGGTATCAATACAACCAACAGCAGTTTGATTGCTGTGCAGGAATGGAGTGGATCTGCAGTCTTGTGGTATTCTGCTGGGATCAAGTCCATCCCCTGCCTCATTCCCTCTGCAAGGTGCCTGTGCTATAGGCAAATGGAGGACAGTCAGGGCGCTATTTATGGTAATCTCTCGGAAGAAAAAACCTATCTCCCGCATCCCTGAATCTCCCTGAAGTAGAGAACATCCCCAAATAGGCCAGAGGAGATACTTGCTGTGTCGTCCCCGCTGAGCACCACCGCTCCTGTGTGGTGCTTACTGCCATTGCGTGGTCTCGCCGCCAGCTTTAGATTATTGTCCCCTCTCCAGCTACCTCTTAGAGAGGGGCTGGAGAAGTGACGTACAACCACCTCTTCTTCACCCGCTGCTGCTGGGGATCCTGCGACAATTACACTCGAGGCAGATTCAGAACCCTGCCTTTTAAAATGCAGCCGTAACAAAAGTAGTGGGTATTGACTAGCAAACTGTTGGTCCCATGTCTGGTGCACAGAGCCTGCTCCAAAATGGCATTTGCTTCCCTACTGCACACGTCGTAGTCTTTTAACATGTAATAGGTTACGTAATGAAGTTTGTGCTGTCTCCCCTGGGAGTCAACTAGACAAACAACAATTAGGAAATCTTAGCTGATAATTGTTTAAATGTTTTGTTTCTTAATTTCATCTTTTTCCTTGGGCAATTTTGTATTATCCTAAATAGTTCCTTTCATTCCTCAGTGCTTGTGTTTCCCAAGTATTTGTAAATCACTACCAAGTCTCCCTTTCCCACAGGCATTGCTTATCCTAACTGTTGACTGAAAATCAATCCCTCCATCTAATGACTCTGTCACTGCTCTCTGAACTCTTTCCATTTTACATTATCCATCTGGCAACAAAATGTCCAAAACTACGCGCAGGCTGCAGATGTGGTAGCTCCATGGCTGTTGAGGCAGGGATCTGTTATAAACCATTGTATTTTGGGATCTAGCCGTTTCTGGGATCAGTACTATGAAAATATAAAGTCATTTGCCCCTCGATTCTCTGCCCAGGACACCTCAGTGTAATGAGAGATTTGTAAGATAAACCTATTGAAGTTGCGGTGTTCTTCTTTACGCCCATACCCTGTTCCTTTTTTTTGGCTTTTCTACACCCACAAACACATTTCAAGCTCTCATTCTCCTCAGAAATAGAAGACTTTTCAAGCCCAGGATCTGACTGCTCTCCCCAGTCTGATGTCAGCTCTTGTGTCCCTGTCTTTTGGGTCTTTTTCTCCTGTTTCTCACCTGCTTCCCACTGGCCAGAGGGGCAAGGAGATGCCTGTGTGTAGTCTCGGTACTTACATGGGGAGGAAGGTTGGGCAGGAGTGGAAGCTCTGTGTTTAGTGATGTCGCACTGTTCAGCATAGACTCATTTGGTTTCTCCTCCTGTCCGTTGACTATCTATTTTAGGTACTGCATCTAATGGTTAAGAAAACAAGGGGGAAAAAAAAGAAAAAAAAAAAAGTAATTGCACATGCAGAAATTTAATTTCAGCAAAAAGTATTTCAGTTTTCATTTGTGATATCACAAGTTCACAAAGTGGTTTTTTTTTTCTCCTTTCAATTTAACAGGTTATCACTGCTAGCTTATCACCGTTGTTCTTTGTCATGACTGCCAATGTACTAATGATTTCTTGGTAAGTGCCTATGTGAGCTTTTTTCTTAACAGTAAAAATGAATTTCCACACAGTGCTTCATATGGAAATACTCTTTAAATGTCAAGTTCTATTAGTGCCAGTAATATTTTGCATGTAAGGAAAACCAGGTGTGCAATGATGGATGCAGTACAGTAATAGAAATAGAAGAGTGTTTCTTCAGCTTCTGTGGGAGAACATGGACATTTTGGGCATCAAGCCTCACCACAATTCACTCAGCATGTTCTACAGCTAGACAAATGGATGCAATAGGCAAAAAAAGGACCCATTTGAAGTCACGCTATAAATTAGTGGTGGAATTGGAAATAAAACACAGGAATCATGGTTTGGTGACAGCATCTTTTTAACCAAGAGAGTGCATTCAAGTTTCCCTAACACAGCGTGTACTGTGAATGCATAAAATGAAAATAGTAGAAAAATGAAATAATGATAACAGACTTTTTCCAAAGCTGTATCTGGCTATTGTAACATGTGGCCACGCATTACAGATCATCTAACCTGAAATTTTTAGGTAGTAGTATAAAGGATTGGGGTGCAAAGTATAAAGGACTGGTCTGTGTTTGTATAGCACGCAGCAAAAGGGAATCCCAGCCAATGGCTGGTGCTCCTAAATGCTTCTGCAGTGCAAATAGCAACTAAATATGGGGTTAGGAATGTATCTCTGAGGACAGATTTGTTGTTGGAAAGAAAGATCTGCTTACTTTTGAAAAGCTTTAAGCTTCCTTTTTTCCCCTCACTGTTTGATTGCCATCCTAAAGATTCTGCTCTGCACAGAATGGAATTAGCATATTCTTTTTTCAGGTGTGATGAAGAAGTTACAGGAGGGAGAATCTCAGTTTAAATGAGCCCCATATATATATATGTGTGAATATGCATCCCCATATGTATGTTACGCGCATGTGATCTCAAATACTAAAATAAGTCGTGTAATTTTTTTCAGCTCTTGGAATACATTTATGTGGCCTATGTGTATAAGAGGCTGAACTAATATCAGTGTACCTAAGCCACTCCTAGTCTAGACCATTAACTTGCAATTCCTCACTGTGTTTTAAATGTGTTTGTGCAGGTCTGTCATGTGCGTGCTAGAGGTAGGCTTTTATAATGTGTGTGTATTCACTAACAGGTATACTAAAAAAAATCACGTGTACCTTTGTTAATGTGAGCACATGGACCCATGTAGTTGCACACATACTACACGCCCTATATGCACTGAAAGTCATATGATAAACACATCTGTATCTTTAAAAGAAACTTTGCTTTGGCCCTTAGGCCGCTGTTATGCTTTGATTGTCATAATTCAGAAAGACAACCACTTATTTGTTTGCTTATTTATTTGTTTGAGTTCTGTTACTGCTTGTGCATCAGCAGTGTCTTGGCTTCTCGGCAAAGCCCTGGCAAATGTTTGTTAGATGGTAGAAGCTGCAAAGTACTCAGGAGATCATTAATCACTGAGGTTTTTAGTGTTGCTCCAGTGTTGTCATGGACAATGTCATATGTTAATTTCTGAGTGATGGGCAAATGCAGCTAGCTGTCACCCCACAATAAACGGAAGCCAGAGGATTTGCTGGACGGTAAATTGAAGGTAAATCAAGGGTTGGCGTTTAGCCATGTTTTTTGCTCTGCTTCCTCTTGAAGTTATAACGATGGTTTCTATGGGCCTAGTAATCTAGGTTGCATGGGCATGTGGATACCTGAGATTTCAAATCGTTCAGAAAGGGATTCCTCTTCTCTGATGTAGGATGTAAGGTATTAAAGAACAATTTAGATGCAGCCACCTTTTTAACAGAACAGGGCTGTACAGTTTACTGTCTTTTGTACAGAATTGCCAGTCTAATTTTTAGAATGATACATCAGAGAGAGGTTTCTTTTTTAAAGTCTCTGTTTAAAATGTTGTAGAAAACAACACATCTGTAGAAATGGGGGGGGGGGGAAAGAGAGAGAGTAATTTCTAAGGCTCTGTTGGTTTTAGGGCTTCCTATATGCAGTGGGTTTTTTTCTTTAGCATAAAGAATACATTATCCAACCTTAGCGTCCAAAGGAATTAATGCAGAGGGTATGTTTAGAACTGGAGCTGAAATCCAGGCAAGACATGGGGGTTAACCCTCTCCAGAGAAAAGTGCTCAGAGGTTGTTAGTGATTACAGGCAGACTCACGTGGTTTAGATGTTTCTGAAAACCTCACAGCCCTCGCAGCCCTTTGCTCCTTGTTGGTAATGCCACATCCAAAGGTATTCTGTCTCCACAGTGGACTGTCTGCAGACTGTCTGTAGCACTTACATTCCAGGGCTGTTTACTGTGTAATTGTAAGGTACTGTGCTGTTATTATACAATGTTTGTTCCTCTCAGGAACAGGGGCAATTATGTGATTTTTAAAACAGCTCACCAAAGCTAAGATTTAAGTGAATGTAATGCTATTAAAGACCAGAGAGCCTTCAGCTTTACATGCTTTTTTTTCCCAAGAGGAAAAAAAAAAAGCCCTCTTACAAATGAACTTAACAGAAGTTTGTTTTGTTTATGAAGTTCATTAAGGAGCTTTTCTGTTTCATAAGCTAACTAAGCCATGAGGCTAAGATGAAAGGTCAGTACACTTGGCTTTCCACTGTTATAAAAGGGGAGACAAGTCAGTATCCTACCATATTCCTCCCAGCTATGAGAGAGAGCAGAGGGGATTTGGGGATTATTAACTGTTGCACGGATTGAGTGGGCTGATAGCTTATTTCAGTGAATGGTTTTGTTTGTAAAACCATTCATCCTGATCTGGAGCCATGCTTCTAGCCTGAGTCTTGGAGAGAAGCATTAGTGTCACCACTGTGCTGTGAGCAGCATGGTAAGGAAGCACTCGGGCACACGTGCCATTTCGGCCAGGGCAGGTTCTTTCACCGGTTCCTCATGAAGAGAAGCAAACTTGGGAATTTCTACCGGCCTGGCTATGCCAGTGGCATCTCCCCAGAGCAAAATTCTTTTTCCCTGATTTCCTCAGTTGCCAAAACCTAGGCTTTACATCTCCTCCTGACTTTGTCAAGTGGCAAGTTTTCAGGACAGAACGCAAACAGAAATTGCAAGGGGGAATCATTAACCTAACGAGGTTCAAACTCTCCTGCCTTCCTTTCCTGTTCTTGCTAGTGTATGGTGGTGCAGCTATTCTTGTAACTAGGTGCAACCTACTCTGTCTAGATTTCTGTCCGTGTATTTTCACCAACCCTAGAATATAAGAAGGGTGATTTCTGATGAGATCAGTTAAATAAGACATTTCTGGTTTCAGCCTTTTCTTATCAAGATGAATGGAAAAAATCGCCTGTGTTCCTGTCTCTAGGTTGAAGTATGTTTAGACAAAATAATACCTTTCTCTTAATGTTGTGCTGTTTGGCATTGTATCAAGTAGAGGGACTTGCCTGACGCTAAGTTTGTGGTATACTTTGTTTACAGCCTTGTGATCAGTGGAGTTGGAGAAGCTTTGCTTGTTTACACTGAAAGGACAGGCACATAAAGAGGAACCAGATCTCACCAGCTGGAAAAGAGCTGACTTGCAGCCTAGCGACCCCATCACGAATAAAATGCAGCAGCAAGAATGAAGAAGTGCAACCAAACACAAGGAAAGAGACCTATTGTTTTTTTATTAAGAAAGAAAAACTATGCTATTAATAGTGCTGGTAAGAGAGCAGCATAGTTGGCAGGGTGGTTGGGAGCCTTTGCCTCAAAGCACAAGACAAACTATTTCTCATTGATGTGGTAAAGGAAAAACTGCACTATCTCATGCTGATGGCTCTGTGTGAGAACCTTTCAGAACCTCCCTTCTTGCACAGGGAGCTGAACTCAGGAAAAGCAGCATTCCCCACTGGAGGCCCCCAGGTTTTTTTGTTGACAGCAGGTTGTACCAAACCATGTCAGAGCCCAGATCGTGCCATGAATTCAGGATAAGGGTGGATGGATTTTGTCTCCAACTGTTCTGTAAGCAGCAAGCTGCTGCACACAGGTCTCTAGTCACGTCGTCTGAACTGGCACGGTGACCCAAGGCCATGGGGCTTCTGGAGATAGTCCCCTTCTGGAACTGCAGTGGGTTGACAGCTTTGCAGAATGGGGAAATAGCAATAAATCTCAATATCTGTAGTGATGGCTCTTTGTGTGGTTTTTTTTCTTCTCCCATTCTCCAAGATTTCTTTTGAGCTCTGCAAATTTTTGTCAGCTGGAGGGGGTGGAGGGACTCATACTGTTCCCAGCAGTGGTTTGTCTCTTAAACTATTGGAAGAGGCAACAAAGATTATGAACCTTGGATAAATGTCATGAAGAGTGTAAGGCAATTTATCTCAAGAGTTCTTAAAATAATTTCATTTCTGGTTGCTTAATGGCTGTTAGAAATTAGTCTTGATATATTAGTGCCTGGGAAAGCAATCTATGTGAAAGTAATAAGAAAAGATGAGTTGATAATATTGTGGGGAAAGTCTACATGGTAAAAGGAGCTTGATAACAAATCGTCAATGAGAAGAGGGACTTGTCTCACATGCCATTAGATATCTAAAGTGTAGTCTCTTAATCTAGGCTGACAAAGTTTCCTTCATAGGCAATGGAAAGAAAGGGGTGCCCTCACAGAGGTGATTCTTCACAAACAGATTAACGCGACTGAAAGACCCTCTGGAAGTGGTTATCTCCCTGTAGATGGAAATTTGGTGATGAGTCTAGACAAGAGACTTGGCTTTTAGAAGGCTACAGTTAGCTGAGGCATCTCTGCTTCAATCTAATAAATTCTACCAGCTGGGTTTTAACGTTTAGCTCCATTTTAACTTCAAATAAAACACCATAGTTTAAGAGAAGGTGAATTTTACAAAGGATTGCAGTCAATTTATATGATTGGAGAGTTTTAGGTAAAAATCAGTTGGTTTTCAGAAAAAAATGCTGTAGTTTAAAAAAGAGAATGCAGACAGGTACTCTGGCCTGTATTGTACCTAAGCTTGTCCCAATTAATTGCAAGGGGTCTGCTTATGCTGGCAGGTTGTCCACCTATGTGGGATCACACTCTGGCTTGAGTTTGGAGTGAGCCATTTTCTTGCCAGGTGGTAAAACTCAGCTTTGGGAAGAAAAGAGGAGAGAGGGACAAGCATGAAGAAACATGTGCTTGAACTTGAGCACTAGTCCTGAAACCAACACGAGCCACATGGCATGGGTGGTTGAGCCCATGCTCAATGCCCGGTAAGCCATGACACAGCCAGCCATGGACCCTCATGACCTTCCAGTCTGTAAATTCAGACAGTGCTGGGTGTAATGGCCACAGCTTGCTGGCTTTCCCCAGACAACTAGCTCTGCCAGCCAGTCATGGCAATATGGTAGGATCCTTGCCGTGCCACCTTTCTGCTGATTTTGAAGTGATAGTGACCCTGGGAGACCTCATGAAAGAGTCCCTGTGTGATAGCTGAGGTTTTGCAATCGTAGCTGGAACCTTTGCTGGGGGAAAAGCTCGTAGTGTACCTCTCTCCTTGCATAACCTTCAAGGTTAGGCTGCAGTCTGGATTTTTTTTCTTCTTCTCTCTTGTTGTTCATAGCAATGTTCCAAAACCCAGAATGCCCATTTGCTTTTCTGCTGGCGGTCTCAGCAGAAAGCCAGTGGCCAAATTGGCAGCTGGGGTTGCTGTAGCTCTTTGGCTGCAGAGGGCATGCTTGGGGCGGCTGCAGGAAGGGTTGTTTGGCTGCAGCAGGCATTATGTTGCCTGGGCTCTGGGGGAATTCAGTCTCTGCAGCTGCTGAGTTAGTATTTCCCTGCCTAGTAAGTCCGCTTCCTTTTTATTTAACTTCATGCATGTTAACACCAAGCTGTTTGCTTCTGCTTTCATTTTTGTACCTTAGCGCAATGTACTTGCATTTCTAAGACTCTGCTTGATGTGAGTAAAACACTGCAGGTTTGAATTAATTGCCACATAAGCAAATCAAGGAAACAGAGTTAGCAGCGAAGCTGGGCTCCTCTGTCAAAGATGGCTGGGAAGAAAAGGCACCTGCTGAAGCGACCTGACCTGCTTTGGGTGAGGATGGACTCCTGCCAACCAGCACGAGGCTCAGCAGTCTTGCTAAAGACTCGAAGCAGAGTGGAAGCGGAGCTCCAGGGCCTTCAAAATCCATCTTTGTGTATTCAGAGTTGTCTCGAGGTGCTGAAGGCATGGGTTGGCTCTCTTCTTCCTCAGCCCATGGCAGAGGTGACAGCAGAGCCAGGGTCCGGTGTGGCAGCCTCCCCTGCGGGAGTGCCTGCGAGCAAAGGGCTGCTCAGGCGTTGCTAGCAGCAAGCTGATGGCAGGTTAGCCCCGCTGTAGGGGAAGAGGGGGGG